AACAAGGACAGGGACTCCTGGCTATGCTCCAGGCCCCCAGCTGGTGAGTAAAGTCAGTCCCACTGGGCCAGTCCAAGACTGAAGACCACCTCACCCCATGCTTGGGCTTTCTCGGCCTCATTGTCTTAGACACACGCCACCATCTGGAAGTTTATCATGTATTTACCAGTATGAAAAAATAGTGCCTGGGCTTACATCTATGGCTCCACGTATGGAACTTTCAGTCGTCCTGGTTAACCTCTTTATGTTACATGTTTTAATTGATTTGTTTACTAATTAAAAAAAGAAAGAAAAACAGAGCAGTAAGCCAATAGAGAGACCTTTTACCTCTACCAATGCTCAGACCAAAGGGGTGATCCTCAGACTGTCTAGACTGCACTGTGTCTCTACCAAATCTCAGACTCTACACTCGAGTGTGTTCTGGTCTCTTCCCCTATATATTCCTCTCTCTGCCCAGCCATATCACTCCTGTCTCCACCTCCCTAGTGCTCAGTTTAAAAGTATATGGCTTAAAAGTATGAGCCACCACCATGTGGATCTATTTCTGGATGGATCTTGTATAGGCCAAGGTAGCTTTGAGTTCAGAGCTCCCTCTGCCTCTGTCTCCAAAGACCTGGGATTAAAGGTGTGTTCCACCACTCCCTGGCCTCTGGTGGCTTAGTTTTGTACACTGATCTTTAGGCAAGCTTTATTTGTTAATAACAAATAATAAAATATCTCTACAGACCTCTGCTTAGCATGCTCAAAATTTCAGACCCTCTGAAGCAAACCCAGTACTTAGCACAAACCACACTGTCAGCACAAATGTTTTAATATAAATGAAAAATAAGGGTCTCTCTTATCATTCAGGCAGTGGTGGGATCCTTCCATAAAGCTGTGTCCCTACCTTTAGTCAGCTACCAGGCTTGCAAGGAGCAGTTTTAAGAATTGTCAGGATTGGGCCTCTGAGGCTGTTTCCTTCACAATCACTTCCTTGATCCTCAGTGAAGGCGTCTTTAGAAAATAAAAATACCACCAAGACACCATGCGGGGTGGACGGGGGACCTGCCATATTGTTCTTCCCTGCCAGGCAGGGTCCAGTACCAGTCCAATAAAAGCAACTTCCACCCCTCCCCCATAAAGCACTGTAGGATCCTAGAGTTTTGTGTGAACTCTTTTTCTCTAGCCTGAGCTATCCAATTTGGTTTAGGACAGCTCAGACCTGATGCCTTCCAGGGCAGAGGGAGAATGTGAGGTCAATGTCCACCCTAGTTGGCACACCTAAGAACGCAGTTGACAATGACGAAGCATTCCAAGTAAAATGTTCAATAGTCAGGCAGAACAGGTTAATAGGCTCCTGTTGGACTTCCTGGGGGTGGGGTGGGGCTCCTACCATAGGTCTCCAGTTCTTTCTAATGAGCTCAGTTCAGTCCCTGGTGGTAAGATTGCCCAAGGCATTAAAATGGCACACAGATGTGGTCAGTATCAGGAGATGTCCTATGCAGGGCGTGTGGAGCTGTGCCACGTCTCGCCATCCTGGAGCTGGTGATCAGAGACGCAGCCATCAGTTGAATTCAAAACTCTCCCATAGCATCTGGGAGAGGCAGCAGAGCCCATTTTCCTTCAGGAAGAATGGAAGTTTCCAGAGACAGTTCTGAAAGACAAAGACCACCAATGCCTCACAGAGCCCCTGGGTCGACCCCAGGACTGTTTTTGCTGCCGCTTGTTTTCGGTTTGTCTTTGCTGTTTCATTTTCCGAGTGTTTCATCTCGCAACCATAACTTTGCGCTGCTAACATCACCCCAGTGGTCCAGCCCTTCCATCCGGAAGGGTAGCACAGAGGCATTTCCATGGTGTGTAGCCAGTAGGAAACACCATGTCCAGGAATCAATCAAGGATTTTTTAAAAATCATAAATTTTCAAAGTATCTCAACCTGGATTTCTAGAACTTCCCACTTTTAACTCCTGAGCAGCCTAGAAAAGCCACTCGGGGCTTGAGCGCAGCTGAAAAAAAATCATTAAATGGAAACAACTAAAAACTGCATTTTAAAATTCCATCATGTTTGCATCTGGTGAGTGGCGCTCTTCGAATACTGATTGTTTTATGCCGGAGGACCCAATGGGCAAAAGTAAAACTCATCCTCATGAAGATGTATTCTGTGTCTGACACTCAACTGTTTGAACTTGAATTCCCTCATGAGTGGCAACATGCAGGGAAGTTCTATTATGCTTTCTCTTTTCAACTTTCCCTGATTGCTAGGGAAGACCACTCTAACATTTATATCACTCTATAAATTAAAGGTTCTCTAACTTGAAATCTTTTTGACATTTTTCATCAGTACCAGTCAATATACCTAGCAAGAACTATGCCTGACTGAGCAGCCTTGGGCAAGGTGTGGTCCCATCCATCACTGACCCATCATTGTCTCCTCTGGTCAATTCTGAAAGGTTGTCTGATGAGTTATCAACTGTATAAAATCCCTTCCTGGGAGACAAGTTCCTCCTTCGGCTGGCATCAGACTTCAACTTTCTTCTTCTTCCAACATGAGGTTCCTGAGGGAACTCCTGCTTCCTTGGGCACCATTGTTTCAATAAACTAATGACTAACGGGAGGGCCACAGTGTTTTTTTCTTCACACCTCTTTAACACTTCTGAGGATGGCTCCATCCTCTTCCTTCTTTCTCTTTTAGCTTGTCTAAACTTTAACTCTGGACTCTGTTGCTTCCTACCCCACTCATTTGGATGAAATACCAATACAAACTTTTGATGTCTTTGGCTTACCCAAAATTGGTCAGTCAGGCTTTTACCTCCTACCTGGAGGAAAGGACAAACCAAAGCCATCGAAAAGACTGGCCTTCACTCATTCACCAGGGGCTCTACCAAGGCAGTTCTTTTGAAGTCAGAGCATCACCTTCAAATCCTATAAGTAACTTTGGCCTTTGTAACAGACGATAAGTCAGCTATACTTCCATGTCATTCCCAAGGCCTCAGGCATCTTGATCCCAAATCATCATTTCCTGATAATCTTGTCAATGCAAAAATGCAACTCTCACCTCAAAGGGAATAAGAGATATGTTATTCTAGAGTAGCCTATATGTGGAGTAGCCTATGAATACAGATTTAGGTTACTCAAAATAGCATATTCCAACGTGGTGGCAGTTTCATAATTTTTATAGTAACAGAACAAAGAAAGTCATAAATCAAGATATTTTAAGAACACATTGGTGGAAACATCAGATAGGTTGGTGGATGTGGTGCTTTGAAAGAAAATGGCCTCCATAGGCTCACAGGGAGTGGTACTATTAGGAGGCGAGGCCTGGTTGGAGTATGGAGGAAGGGCATCACTAAGGGGTGGACTTTGGTGTCTCAGAAGCTCAAGCCAAGCCTCTTCCTGCTGCCTGTGGATCCAGATGTAGAACTCTCAGTTCCTTCTCCAGCACCATGTCTGCCTGTGCACCACCATGCTTCCCACCATGATAATGGACCGAACCTATGAACCCGTAAGCCAGCTCCAGTGAAATAAGAGTTGCTGTGGTCATGGTGTTTCTTTACAGCGGGGGAAACATAACTAAGACAGTGGGTGACAGCCAAATGGCGAAATCTTTGTTACAGGCATCAAATGCTATATGGTGACATTCCTGGCCTTTGGGTTGATGGACGCTGAAGTCTGTAAATTCTGAAAAGATTTACCTAGCAGTACAGAAATTTGGGACCATCTTTGCGTGGTTGCAACATAACCTTTCTCTGCTCTTTGTGAACCTGTCTTGGAGACCTCAGGTCATAGAAAACGTAATGGCCACTAACACTTCAGTTTTTTGTCTCATGAATTAAGAGTGAAACGCCTGGGCCACAGAAGGTGAGTTTTAGAGAGAAGTTGATTATAGATTCATAGGTGGGAGCTTAAAGGAAGCAGAGCCCCTCTGTCATAGAAGGGGACGTCCTGGGAACTAGAGGACCACTCAGCTCCCACTCTGGTGGCTTCATAATGACTTATGGTAGAAACCGGGCAGAAGGATGGGAAGGATGGGAAGGATATGAGCCCGTCAGTCCAGCTGGCCCAACACCCAGGTGTCTCCTCTCAATTTCAGTCACATCATCTACCGTAGCATCCAGATGGGGGTGCTTGTTTAGGAGATGGGAATCAGAATCCTGTCCTGGCATTCCTCTGGCAAGGCCAAAGCCAGTCTTGGCAATGCTGCTTTAGGGTTCTTCCTCTACCTGAGCATCTCCTGTCTCCTGTCCTTGTCACTAATAATCACACAGATGTTTGCTAGGTCACAGAGGTGAGCAATGAATGGTTATTAGGAAGGCTGAAAATAGCCAAAGATAATTCGACTTTGGATATACAAAGTTCCCACTGTCCATGGTCACGGAAGTTCTAATATGCCAGCCAGCCTCAAAGAGTCTTTCCACTGGAGGCTTTGTTTCTGGGAAATTCAGTCTATAACTCCATCCTTCCTTTCCCAACAGTTCTCATTCTATTTCAGATCCCTTATGACACTTTATGTGGGAGCCTCCAAGTTTAGTGGCTCACTTGTGTTACCAAACTTGGGGTCACAGTTCAAACTCCAAGAATCTAGCTTCAGTGGCTCATCCTTAAGAAGCCAATTAAAACAGGCAACTTTCTATTTAAAAGTAATTTATATTGCATTTATTCAATGTAGCCCCATGGCAGAAAAGTGATCCAGTGGCCCCCTCAAGTCCATCTTGCGGGTCCTGAAGTGAAAGAAAGAACTAAGCTGTCCCAGTCCAGGTGGGTCCTGACTACCTTTGTCTTCATTAGGTTGTAAATCTCTCTCCTGGAGAGGAGAGTTTCCGCTCTGGCTGGCCCAGGCTTTTCTTCTCCCAGCATGATATTCCTGGAATCCATTATTTTAATAATCAAACAGTTGAAGTATCTTTTTAGAATATATTCATTTCTGTTAAGTGGGTTATACTGGGACTCACAACTCAGCATATTACCTCCTACATAGCCACGGGTCGGTTTGCTGAAAGAACATAAAGAATTGTTGACTTTCCAGGCTCCTCCCAGTGGTGTCGCGGAAGGAGACGTGTGAATTCCCAAGCGCAGCACTGAGACAGACATGGAGAAGCTGCTTTTGCTAAAAAAGCATTGATGCCTCACTTGCGACCACAAGGCTGAAAGTACGAAGATAGGTCATTGTCCTAAGCCTGTCATCACCTCGGATGTCAGTGAGAGCAAACCCTCATCCACGAGGCTGAAGCTGTACCCCAAAGCAGCAGAAGAAACCATCACCCAAGAACCTCTTTGTCCCTTCAAGCAATAAGGACCACCCTATGAGACCAGAGCTGAGATGACCGCAGGGAGGGACCTCAACTGAGACTATGTAATTGCGCACACCTCTTGGCCTTTGCCCCAGTTCCTTCTCCATTTAAACCTGGAGCTCATGTAAGTACCCCAAAGATGACTTGGGATTCACGTTTCTTCTTCTTCTTCTTCTTCTTCTTCTTCTTCTTCTATGATTTATTCACATTGAACAAATCTCTTCTATCTGCTTTTCACACTGTCCATCACTGTAATTAGTGTACTAAGATGGCTGGCTCTGGCTAGCCTGCTGGTCCTCCAGAGTCCAGATGTTCGCCCTAAACTCTAGTTGCAATACCTCTCAAATGTTGTCTGTGGATAATTCAACCCAACAGAGTTCTTTTTAAATGGTTTTTATATGTATGGCAATTTTGGCTTCATGTGTACATGTTCAGCTTCTACGAGCCTATCGTCTCGTCACTCTTAAAAAGAGAATCTTTCTGGAGTCCTGGCTCCTTGGGTTATTAATTTAGTAAATCCTAAGTGCTCCTTGGATAAAAATCATTTCCTAGGAATCTTCACATAGGCCCACTTGTTGGTTTGGTTGATGTTGGTTGTAATTCCCTTGAAACAATCTTGCTGCTGTGTGGCCAGGCGGAGCTCAGGAGGCTGCCTAAGCCTCTCAAGTGCTGGGATTACAGTGTTATAGAAATAACATGCCCTCTCAGTGAGAAACCATTCCATACACTTAGACATGAAAGCAAAACTCTTCACTTAAGTGCCTGGTCGACAGGTGCTAACGCCCAGATGAGAATCGACCCCAACAGAAGATTTGGTTAGCTTCTACACACCTCAGGCTTAGTCATTTTACACACTCTGTCATCCTTAAATCTCTTCAGGTCACACTTCAAACAAACAGGGACAGGAGACTGAGAGTCTGGCTGCTTAGGCAGATAGATTTACACAGCAAAGCTATTGCCAGAATGATTTATTAGGGTCACCCGTGTTGTTCTTGTCCAGTAGTTGTTACCCAGGGTCATCTTGCCCACTGGGCAGAATCATGTTTTTCCTGAAAAAAGGACAGGGGACTTAAAGAATAATGTGACCCTGGACTGTTCTCTTTTGGAGCATAGAGATAAATGAATCCTGGTGAATAAACATTCACAACTTAGATTTCGCGTATCTCTAACAGGCCTGGTTAGCATATTACTTACCTTTGGGGTATTTTGCTACTTGTGTGCCCTAATGTCTCTGAAGCAAATCTAGCAGTGAGCCCTTTATAACACCAATACTATTTCTTTAAGTTTCTTCTACATCAATAAAAATGCTCAACCACACTCAAAATGCTGCTCATTTTGACTTATTGATTAGTATTGCCTAAGAGACCCCCAAAACATGACTATTTCTTTTGGCTGTAGTTGACCCCAGATGTAGAAGGTCAGTCCTTATCTGAGAATACCTTGCACTTCAGACACAGGGCCCAGAAGTACCAAACTGTATCTGACTTGAAAACCTGAGGACCAGAAGGCACCATAAAAGCTTCTAAAGGAGGAAATCAACCAATAGCTATACCAAGCTGTGATGCCTATGGACCACAACAATGACCAGCAGGGCACAATAGCCTAAATGTGCAGTAGTGGCACATACGTCTTGGTGGTGACCAACACCTCTCTAATTAGACTTAAGACTCCCAATAAAAGGGAAACCATGCTTGTTATAGGAAATGGATCCAACTAGTGACGTTGTGGATGGTAGAGGAGAATTTGCAGCCACCACTTGACTAAAACAGAGCAATTAACTCTAACACCATCCTCTTTGTCTGCACACCCACTGATAATGCCATTCTCGCACCTATCAAGGAAGCTTCTTTCCTCAACAAGTGGAAATCATTACAAAAACCCATAACTGATTAAAATGCAGAGTGGTAAAACTTAGTCTCAACTGATGCATCTGAACCTAAGGCACAGGGATCAGGATGGAGGGGGCCATACGTAAAAGCCAGAGGAGCAGGGAGTTTTCTGTGAGATGATATATCCTAGAAATGGCATAATCTACACCCATGAAGTCTCAGCAATATGGCTGCCTAAACATGGCCGGAATAAAAATGACACCAGTAGATGTGGAAGGCGGAAAGCTTGAGGGGCCTCAGTCCTAGACAAAGAACTACAGGCGACCAAAAGAATTCTGAGAGTAAGAAAATACAGTCTTCCCCAAGGAAGAGAACAATAATTATCCAATACCAAGTAGTCGGCCCTAAAAACATATATCCGAATAATATTATATGGACTGAGCAGATTGGATCTATGTATTTAACGGTGTGTGTGTGTGCACGTGCATGTGTGTGTATTATGTATATAACAATAATTAAAGGGGAAAGGCCATGAGTTTGAACAAATGCAATGTGGGGTGCATGGGGTGGTTTCAAGGGAAGAAAGGGAAATGATAGCAATTATGCTATAATCTCAAAATTTTTAAAAGAATAAATTTATTTAAAAATGTAAAATTTTAAATTAAATAAATAGGGTCTGGCTTTCAGAAAGTCCTTGAACTGCCATTCATTGCATCATGGTCCACCAGCCTGTCCTTCGGGCTCCAGTGTGAGCGGCCTACCCTCGAATCCCTTATTCCCCTGGAGAGCCTGTCTTATTTCGCGCTCTCATGGACTCACATCCTTCTATCGCTGCCCTCTGTGCTCACTTTAGATGGAGTTTGTGTACATACTTCTCTGACCCCAGAGGCTCCATCGTGTCTTATCGCATGTGCTGCAAGGTATTCTGGTGGCCCAGCTGATGACCCCTGAATTACACTGACCACAGAGGGGTTCATCAAGGCCACTGATTAACTGTCAGAGGAAGCTGGAGTCTAGTAAGTTCTGAGCTGTTACTTGAAAGACAAAACCAGCTCTTTTACTTTCCGTTTCCCAGCCTAAAAGCTACTTACAAGATTGTTGCGATGTAAGTAAATGCAGCTGTGATGTTGTTTGTTAATCTTTCCCATGCCCTTGCTAACTCCCAATGCTTCCTTAGCCTTGCCATTTTTTTTTTTATAGAAACTGGAGATGCTAGTGTTGCTGCTAAGTATGAGCTTCAACTAGTGGAGTTTCTTGCTATACTCTAATTGATGTTAATGACTTGCTACAGGTCCCAATTAGCTATAATGGGTGTTAGATTTGGAATAGACGCTTGCCACCATGAGTCCAGTTTTCTACTCACACCCCGCCCCTGACATCTTCATCATCACTGGCTTTCCTCTCTGCCCATCCTCTTGGAAAGAAGGCGCCTTGCTCCGGGTTCAGCACATTCCAGGATGTGACAAAACCCAGCTTCTGGAGAACTCTTTCTTTCATTAAGCTGTAAATCAGCACCCAGGCCACTGCCCGGAGCCTTGGCACTGCCAGCTCATCCCTCATGCTATCCTTCGTTGAGGTGTGGCTTCCCACCAGTGGGCTTTGCCCTAACACAGGTCATGCGTGAAGGATCCTGCGAATTGTGTTGGGGTAAGTAGAGTGGTGTTTGGAGGAAACAGAGCGTGACACATTCGGTTCTCTCTAATTGTAACCTGCTACATGTTCTAGTGCCAAGATAAATTTGAATGTAGTATCCCGTGATTGCATTTGTATGAATTTCTAGAAAAGTCAACTATGGTGATGTTTCTGAAGAAGACCAGTGATGGCCAACAGCTAGGGAAGCCTTTGGAAGCAGAGAACACGGAATATTGAGGATAGTGCGGTGATTCTATCCCGTAATTGTGGTGCCAAGCCTACTACTATACATTTTTAAAGAATTCACTGGCTTCCATATTTAAAAGTTGTAGGACTGTATCACATGTGGATTATAGCTCTGTAAATAATAAGAACTATCTCTAAAACAAGAGAATAAAAGGACAGGAATGGCTCCTCACTTTCCTGTATAGCTCATTTTCCTGTTGAAATGTAACTCTGGAGACAAGACAGGTTCTGGCTTGCTTTGCTTTCTTTAATGTCAATTTTATTTGAAGTGTAACATTCTTACAGATTGCATAATCATCAATGCACAGCGCAGGGAATTATCTCAAAGTGAATATATCCACACAACTATAGCCTGAACCAAAAATGAGATTTCAGAATCCCCAAAGTCCCCACATATCCACTCCAGTGTCTGCTATAGTTTAGGTGGGAAATGTCCCCCATAGGCTCTGGTGTTTGAACACTTGATATCTAGTTGATAACACTGTTGGGGAGATCTTAAGGGAAGTGTAAGAAAATAACCTTAAATTCAATCTTATGAAGATGATAGAGTCCGTTAAAGAGGAAATGAATGAATTCCTTAAAGAAATCTAGGAAAGCACAGATAAAAGAAATGAATAAAACCATTCAAGACCTGAAAATGGAAATGGAATCAATAAAGAAAACACAAACTGTTTTTGTGGGAATTGTGGAGATAGAAAACATAGGTAATCAAACAGGAATTACAGATGCAAGTATCACCAATAGAATACAAGAGATAGAAGAGAGAATCTGAGGTGTAGTAGATACAGTAGAAGAAACTGATACATCGGTCAAGGAAAATGTTAAATCTAAAAAGTTCCTGACACAAACATCCAGGAAATCTGGGACACTATGAAAAGACCTAACCTAAGAATAATAGGAATAGGAGGAGAAGATACCCAGCTCAAAGGCACAGAAAATATGTTCAACAAAATCATAGAAGAAAACTTTCCTAACCTAAAGAAGAACATGCCTATAAAGGTACAAGAAGCTTACAGAACACCAAATGTATTGTACAAGAAAAGAAAGTCCCACTGCCACATAATTATCAAAACATAAAATGTACAGAACAAGGAAAGAATATTAAACGCTGCAGGGAGAAAAGACCAAGTAACA